TTTTTTAACTTGTTATACAGACTTAGGGGTCTATTCTGTAACAATTCCTTTATATTTTAACGGCCGTTAAAATACAATTTTATCAGTATTCATAATACCTTCCACGAAAGTGTAAGTTTCCCACTTCTTAAGCTGACATGGCTCCCCAAATCATAACAGAAGCCGGAAACAACTTTCTTTCTAAGACCCTCATTCAGAAACGCTTCTTCTTTTGTTCTTAGGACACGACTCCTACAATCAACAATGCATACTTTAAATCTGGCTTCATCGTTCCAAATTATAGAGTTCTATTGGTGTGGAGACCATAACTGATGTTCCTTTGTCCACGCTAGTCTATATTTTTTCTGAAACTTTGTCCGTAAGTTCTTCTCTTTTGCCTATGAATTATTGAATTAAAAACAAGTGCCACATATCCAGATGTTTTGTACAGTTTAGTAATATTTTGAACTGTATATCTCGATTTATTAACACTGTCAGCGATTTGGGAAGAAGTTTAGCTCTTCAAATGCAAGTGAATTATCACTTTCCTTATTTCGTCAGAAACAGCTTTAACACGAACCATTTTTAGTTGTTAACAACAACACCAATGTACGAAAATTAATTAAAACGTCAAAATTGGCTTCTTAGCAAAGTCAAATATTATCATTTGTTTTACAGAGCCTGCCTTGATTTTATTGAAGCCGATAAACCAATTTAAGTTGTCTCCATCATGTATTTTGCCAAACACAAATCATTTTACAAATAAAACAATTTCGACTTAAATTTTTTTTAAAAATAGCCACGCTGGTCTTATTATATTTCCATAAACATTTAAACAAACCAAAAATATTATATTTTAAACAAAATTCTAATTTGCCCTGATATAAATTCACAAATATCATGTTTTGTGGGGTTGGGACAACTTCACTGAGACAGGCTAGTATATTTTTTTACTTTCCTATCTGTATACAGATATAAGGAAAGTATAGAAATCATGATTTTTTTCGACCTCGAGTTTTCGACGGATTTTTACGTTTTGAGGTCCCCTGAATCCGTTTTGACTATTTTCGCGATGATGTCTGTGTGTGTGTGTGTGTGTGTGTGTGTGTGTGTGTGTGTGTGTGTGTGTGTGTGTGTGTGTGTGTGTGTGTGTGTGTGTGTGTGTGTGTGTGTGTGTGTGTGTGTGTGTGTGTGTGTGTGTGTGTGTGTGTGTGTGTGTGTGTGTGTGTGTGTGTGTGTGTGTGTGTGTGTGTGTGTGTGTGTGTGTGTGTGTGTGTGTGTGTGTGTGTGTGTGTGTGTGTGTGTGTGTGTGTGTGTGTGTGTGTGTGTGTGTGTGTGTGTGTGTGTGTGTGTGTGTGTGTGTGTGTGTGTGTGTGTGTGTGTGTGTGTGTGTGTGTGTGTGTGTGTGTGTGTGTGTGTGTGTGTGTCTGTGTGTGTGTGTGTCTGTATAACGCATAACTCATGAACCGATACACAGAAAAACACCAAATTTTAAACTTAAGCTTTGTTTCAGCGTCCAATGAGCTGATTAGATTTTGGGCAGAGTCGGAACATCTGGGGGGGTACTTTATAGGTGGTCATTTTTATATTTTATGGAATATATCTGTTATTTACGTTTGGAGAAGAAAATTCTTCAAATAAAAGTTACTTCTAATATAATTATCTATAATTTTTGTTATATGCAAAATTTTCCTAAAATGGTCCGTATTCGAGAAATTTGACAAAATGTAAAAAAAATAATTTTTTATAAAAATTGTTCAAATAAAAGTTGTTTGTAATATAATTCTCTATAATTTTTATTCTATACATAATTTTTCTAAAATGGACCGTATTCGAGATATTTGAGAAAATGTGTAAATTTCGAATTTTGAAGAAAACTCAAAAACGGATATAGAAAAAAACATTAAATTTTAAACTTAAGGTTTATTTCGGCCTGACGTGCAATGATTAGATTTTGGACAAAGTCGGAACATCTGGGGGGGTACTTTATGGGAGACCGTTTTTATATTTTATGGAATATATCTGTTATTTATGTTTGGAGAAGAAAATTGTTCAATTAACAGTTACTTCTAATATTATTTTCTATAATTTTTGTTTTATGTCAAAATTTCCTGAAATGGTCCGTATTCGAGAAATTTGACAAAATGTGCAAAATTCTGATTTTTTTTGTTTTTACGTAATAACTAGATAGGAAAGTCATGTGTTGGACACATCAGATTTTTATATATCCCTGTTATAAACTGTAATAGTCTTTTGAGATGATAGTAATAGTAATAATAGTTCAACATCTAATACATATTTTGTAAATTTTAAGAGATTAAATAAATTTTGCATTACCCCACTAATTTGTTTATTAATTAATACTGAATATTTCTCCTTTTGTCAGTATTCAAAAAATCAACAACTATTAAAAATCACTTTTTTTGTACAGGGTAAACGTCTAATTTGATTGGCCTATAAAATTTCTTTGCAACATGAGACTACCTACAAAAGTGGTATTTGACTATAGGTAGGTATAATTAATATTTATATATTTAATAATACTTAATAGTTTAAGCTGGAATAACATTTCCGGTTTAAATTCGGGATTTGTTTTATTCGGTTCTATTTTTATCAGTTTTTTCCACGAAATGGATTAAATTTTTCACACCATGTTCCTAATAGGAATTTAGGATAAACATGATTATAGTGGGTAAGTGTCCCTTACGGGGATGAAGCTACTAATAATTACCATTCATAGCTCCACCCCTATTCGCGATGTTGTCATACTTAGCAGGAGCTCTCTTTCTATGTTCTTCTCTCTCGCGCAAAAACTGGGCAAGTGACCCGTAACCTAAAAATGGCAGTATGATGAATAGGCATTGATAATGTTTTAGTGTCTCTTATGTTAACTGTATGAAATTGAACTTTATCAGTAAGATAGGTAGGTAATGAATCTGATTATTCTATGCATCATACTTAACAATAAATATTGGTAAACATTGTGAACCTTTAGCGAAAAAGAAAGAAATATGATCGTATTTTCGTAAATTATTGATAAATCTACAAGTACACTGCATGATTTGAAGCCTGTTTTTATTCAATGCTGTTAAGCAAGGGTAATAAATTTGTATTCCATATACTATTTTAGACATAACGAGACGTTGACATAGATTAGCTCGAGTTTTCTTATTTAATAGAATATGTTTATTTAAATATACTTAGTAATCTTAGGACCGATTCCACCGTTGTGTTAAACGAAGTTTAAAATGACATTTTTACATTAACAATGTCATTTTAATCTCCGTTTAACACAACGGTGGAATCGGCCCTTAGAGCACCATAACTAGCTTTTAGTAGATGATTCACGTGATTGTCGAATCTTAAATTTTCATCGAAAATTAACCCCAGATTTTTGGAATACTCAACTATAGGCATCACATATTTTTAAAAGTGTATTTTGTTTAATACATTTAGAAACTTAATTGCAATAAATAATACATTTTGATTTGGACGGATTTGTGTAGGTCAAGATTAATGGAAAAATAACTAATTAGGCTCAAGTTATGATTGATTTGATTCACAGACATGTACAGTTCTTTTGTTTCAAACTGGTGGAATATTTGCGTGTCGTCGACAAAAAATTGGGCAGAACAGTTTTGAATGACTTTACTCAAGTCGGAAGTGTATAATAGAAATAGCAGGGGTCCTAAAACTGAGCCCTGTGGAACTCCTGATTTTACGAACGAGGATATTGAAAACTGATTTCTTCTTATTTTCATTAAGTTGTAATTGTAAATGATGATCAATATTAAAAATGTTTTTTTAACCATGGTATTTTCACTAAAATTTTATTGGATGTAGTATTTTTTCCAAAGACACATGAATTCCTTTATCGCATTTTATTGCAACAAACTGTGTACAACATAGGTACACTACTACATAAAATGTAATAAATTTTATTAAATCCTTGTGAATCAAAAATTATTCGCTAATTAACAATATCTTTCTATTCACATTTAACAAAAAATCCATTTTGGTCTTGTTATTTTACACTTAATAATTTTTTATGCAGTGACATCCATAAAAATCTTCAGTACTATGTCTACATACTATCTTCTTATATTTTAGTTCATGTTCAATAATTTAATAGAATAAGTAAACATATTATTCTCTAAATTCTAAACTTTACTCTTTCTTCATTTTCGTTCAATTTTATTACTGGTTTTATCAGATAATAAACAAACACCAATTTATAATAAAAAACATGATAAAAATACGGCTGTTTGATTAGAATTCACTAGAATATGTTTTGTTAATAATTATAATTATCATGATATGATGACATTTCACAGAAGTAGAACAGGTATAAAATATATACATATATATCGATATTAGATTTTGTTTTCCTAGTAAAATGAATTTTAATTTTATGATTACCAGAGCAATAATACAGTTGGCATCATGACTAATCGATTATATTTAAAACACCTATATGAAAGAAAATTTTATGGAGAATATGAATATCAGATCTCTATCCTAACAGGCTCTTGCGGAAACTAAAATGTAACCTATTCCAAAGTATGACAAATTATATAAAAACTAATTTTATTATTATTAATAGAATTCAATTATTTTAACAATTAAATTAAACATTTTAATTTCATATATATGTACCCATTTTGTTCAAAATATTTCATAATTAGATTGTTTCACAGTTTCTGTAGTAAAAAATTGGTACTGAATTTTATATCTCTCCATAAAAATTGTTTACTTAAAGCAAACCATCTGGTTTATAAATTATCATTAAACTGCTATTTTTTCAAACTGTTATACTAATCTTGATGATTTAATAGGAACTTCACTAATTCTAAGAAACAACACATTTAGGATCATTTACAATAAACTTATTATAAATAACGTTTTAAACAACAATGATGTTGGAATATTTTGGTGTTTTAATTACAAAGAATTAAATTGACATTAAAATATTACAAATTGGATTGTCATTTTAGCAGTACTAATTTTTTTTTTTTTTTCAGTAGTTGATCCTTGGGCATGGCATTAGCGTGCAATGTTAGGCTGTAGCACGGTATGTCCCAACTGCAAGCACGAATTCCAGTGCTGTACACCCAACCAGCCATGTTGCAGCAGCGTCAGGAGGTCCTTACATGCCCTCAGCGGCGGTGGTTTGGTTACCACACTCGCTCCAACCCCATCGAGCCCCTGCCTGTCCCCACAGGTCTCTCCCAGCGTTCCACTGGCCTTCATCCTGCCACCTTTCGCCACCCCTCTTCAACGAGCACCAGCCCCTGCGGATGCGAAACCGGAAACCGAGTTACAAAGGTTATCGGATACCGTTCGGGCTCTTCGCCAATCCGGTTGGTACTATGAAGGCGTCACCTATCAGCAGAGCCACGAACTACTCAAAGGGACCAGTGTAGGAACGTTTTTAGTGCGGAACTCTTCGGATCCACAGTTTTTGTTTTCCTTAAGCGTGCAAACGGAGCGCGGCCCAACATCCGTTCGTTTGTTTTACATCAACGGATATTTCAGGCTTGACGCGCAACCGCATTTGCAAGCCGCCATGCCTATGTTTCCTAGCGTTATAGACTTAATCCAACATTACGTGCAGCAGTCACGCGTGTGCAGGAGCAACGCCCAAGTGTGGGTGGATCAACAAGGAAAATGGTACTCTTCTATTCTTCTTGACAAGCCACTCAGGAAGAAATCTGAACCATGCAGTTTGAAACACCTGGCTAGGATGGCTATACATAAGGCAGTTCAGTCTTCTGCTAAGCCTAGACTACTCATGCTGCCACCTCCACATACTCAGTTAGAACTACCTAATTCTTTGATTTCTTATTTGTCGGAGTACCCTTTTTCCCTCTAAAGATGGATGCTTTAATATTGTCGCCGTTTCTTGTACAAAGTTACCATAGAAAATTTATTTTAGTACATTTATAAACTTTGCAACTTCTATTATTTGAATTTTAGCCATCAATTTTTCTTTGGTTACAATTTGATATAAAATTAATTTCACACTACATACTTCTCAGAGATAAATTTTGTAAATATTATTCTTTAATTAATTCAAAATGAAAAAATAATTGATAATAACCAGGGGAGAATTCTTTATATCTATGTAAAAAACAAATGTAACTAAATTGAATAATTATAGAAGTGGTTCCTCTTTCATATTAAAAATGTTTAAATCTAACATCACAATCATGTGGATTTTTTAATTGTTTAAAGTTTTGTAGGACGTTGTGAAATGCGTGTGTTATGTGTTACATTATTTATATTGTAAGATTTACCAAAGAAAAATGATATGCTCGAATATGATAGGTACTAAATAATACTACAGATTTTTCATTTAGACTAGAATAACGAAACCATTTCTTATTATTTACCTAGTAAAACTTTATTAGAAAAATATTTTGCTTGTTACTAGTTGATTATTTTATCCTTCTGTTGTAAGACATATATTACAAATTACTTGTAATGTATAGTGTAAATGGAAAATTTATTAGTATAGTTACTGGTCAATGTTGTTAAAATACTCGTAGATGAGGTTTATTAAAATTAACCTTTTCTACTGTCCTAACTATAAACCATTTGATCATGTATAATAATATTGCAATAATCAAAAGGGCTGTTAAAGCTGTCCTAAATTTAAAAGTCTTCATTCTGCAAATACTATTTATTATTTTAATTACTCCAATAAATTTTAAAACTTATTTTGCACCTAAAAATTTAAAAACGGGATCGACAATATTTATTTAAATACATTTTTAGCTGGGCCAAAGACTGGTTGGTACCTTTACATACCAACATCAGGGAACACCAATAAAGTATTCTAAAATAGCGTCGACAATTCAGCGCATACTTAGATAGGATAACAAATTGCTAAAGAACTATTCTGTTTGTTAGTCTTCAGCTAATTTTTTTAGATATTCTGTATAATAGTTTTAAATATTTTTGTTTTATAAATGACTAATTTAGTCAAAGTTAAATGCCGGTTGGGGATTTAGAATGTTTCTGCATAAAAATATATATTTAAAATGTTCATATAGGCGTAGATCCGCTTGTCAAAGACGTTTTAGTCCTTCAAATATAGCTTCCGAATATAAAAACTGCCATTCAATAACTTCAATAATGGTAAAAAGACAGGAAAACAGCAGTTAATTATGCATTTTTTATAAATTTTGTTTTATGTAGATTCATACCCTAAAATACAGTGTGTCGCATTTAAGATGAAGACCCCTCTATTTTGGCTATCTAAATAAATACAGATTTGAAATTTTGTACAGTCATACAAGGTGATGGTTCACATTTTTCAAGATACTCAACTGAAATTTAAATTTTAAACGCGGCCTACTGCGAATCCACAAACGGGGTCAATTTTCGATATTTTTCTTCGCGTTAGAGATATCAGAAAAAGTTATTTGAAAAAATTGTCCTGAATATTATTCTAACCGCACTTACCAAATTTCATGACAAAATTCGCATTTTTAGTTTTTTCATTATTTTGGTCAATGCACAAAATTATTAAAAGTTGATTTTTTTTTAATTCGATAAACTAGTGTGCCATGAATAGGAATAATTTGACACTTGTGAAATCATTAATGTCAATCAGATTAGACTTTCAGTTTAGTGTAATTCATGTAATTTAAATTCTTCAATAAAATAAATAACACTAACACAAACGAATAATTATTTTCTTTTAAAAAAACAATAATTTTTAGTAGGTAAATGATTAAATTTAAGAAAATATTTAAAACAATAATTTTCATAGTACAAATGACAATTTATCAAATGTTATCTCGCTCGACTAGTCCTCCATTTATTCGAATACATTTTTCAATTCTTTTACGATTATGTCTGGATACTCATCTAAGTTCTGGGATGCTGATTTCTTGACAGGCTTGTCATATTCTGGCACAAAGTTTATTTCGATTTCTGGGCCTTGTTTTATAAACTTTATTTTTTATCAGTCCCTAAAAATAAAAATCGAGTGGTGTAATATCAGGGGACCTCGGAGGCCAGGGTTCAAAAGGACTGTTTCTTCCTATCCAGCGCATAGGAAATTTTTGGTTTAACCATTGACGAACAATCCTTGAATTGTAAATGGATGCACCATCTAGCTGGAAATACATATCCTGTCGCACATTGAGAGGAAGACTTTCTATAGCATCCCATAATTCCCTATCAAAAAAGTTAACTAAATTTATTAAAGAAAAAAGGACCTATTATTTGGTCTCGCAAAATTCCATACCAGACATTGACTTTCTGGGAATATTGATCTTTACAATTTATAACCCAGTGGGGATTATTTCTGGCCCTGTATCTACAATTTTGAGATGATATAACGCCATTGGTGGTGAATGTAGCCTGATCTGTAAACATAATCTTCTCCAGAAAATGCCTGTCATTTAAAAAATAACTTTGGGCCCAATAACAATAATCTAATCTTTTATTCTCATCGCCCTCTTTTAATGTATGTAAGAACTTTGGTTTATAGGGCTTGATTTTGTGACGGATGAAACATCTTCTGATTTTATCCTTAGTAATATTCAGCTGAGATGATAAATATCGAAGGCTCATGCGCGGATTTGCTCGATTTGCCGCCAGTATATTGTTATTCTCAGGATGCTGGTGTATTCGCCGAGGTTGGCCATTCTGATGGATTTTAATAACACTGCCAGTTTCACTGAAAATAACATTTATTGCGGCTGCTTTTCCATGTGTAATGGAAGCACGTTGCAGTTGTTTCCTGTTAAACTCTGCAGCAATTTCTCTGCTACTACGAGCAAAATCACCAAACAATCGGATTACTTCGATTTTTTCGTTTAAAGTCAACGGCATATTAATTCGATTTTCACTAAATAGACCTCAATGTAATAAACTGAAAGTCTAATCTGATTGACATTAATGATTTCACAAGTGTCAAATTATTCCTATTCATGGCACACTAGTTTATCGAATTAAAAAAAAATCAACTTTTAATAATTTTGTGTATTGACCAAAATAATGAAAAAACTAAAAATGCGAATTTTGTCATGAAATTTGGTAAGTGCGGTTAGAATAATATTCAGGACAATTTTTTCAAATAACTTTTTCTGATATCTCTAACGCGAAGAAAAATATCGAAAATTGACCCTGTTTGTGGATTCGCAGTAGGCCGCGTTTAAAATTTAAATTTCAGTTGAGTATCCTAAAAAATGTGAACCATGTATGACTGTGCAAAACTTTAAATTTGTATTTATTTATATAGACAAAATATAGGGGTGTCTTCATCTTAAATGCGACACACTGTATATAATTGTGCAGCAGAGTCGAATTTTTATAAAATAAGTATGTTTAGTATCTATGGAAAAGCGTTTGTTTATAAAAAACTTATGTGGAATTTAAATACAACAAATTTGCCTTATGAAAGAGCAATCTAATAAATACTAAAATATTCTTTGGGTGTAGTTAATATATGTACCTGATTCAGTACATTTTTTAACAATCAGAAAACTGTAGTATTGACAAATACCTAAGTAATGATTTTCTCATTTTACTGTTAATATTATAAAAACAATACCAAAATTACTTAAACCTAACAAAACTGAAGGTGATTGCTGATAACTCATAATTTAATATTCTACACGTATTTAAAACACAGATATAATATATCATGTTATCAAATCGTGAATAAAAATATAATTGTTTAAAGATCTAACTTTTCAAAACATCTAAAAAGTACCTAGTCTATTTAATTTAATTGATAAACTTTTTAAAATCTAAATTATAAAAAAACCCAGTGTCTGATTGTTAAAAAGATGTTTGATTTACCATTCACTATACGACGTGAATGGTAAATAATATGTCAGAATTTTTTTAAATAAATTTTATTATTAATGGAAATCATGAGTAGAATTCTTTATATTTTTCTTATCTTTAGTTATTTTTGAGACAGGAAGCTTATCAAAAAATTGTGGAAGGTCCTTATCAAGTTTCGCAAATATTTTATCTAAATTATTGTATCTAAATTATTGTATCTAAATTTTTTGTACTTAAAATTAGACTATTTTTAAACTTGTTTGACTAAAATATTAGTTTTTTTTGTATTTTTGTTTTTTTTGTGTTTTATCATAGTATTTTAACAGGTTCCTACACTTTATACTAGATTTGCAGCATATCATACATATATTATGTTAATGAAAAATTCCTCCTATAGATCGTGGACATAAAAATGTTTAACTAAATTTAATTTTACTGCCTCTTAAATTAAGACTTTCAAGTCCATTTTGCATGTATTTTTCGTTCTTCAAATGTACTACTTATATCTAGGAATTAAAATTTGTAACACAAATTTCTAATAACAATAAGCAGTATGTGTTCCTCTAATATGAGTTTTGCTAATAAAAACTCCAGTTATTCTAGTATTTCAATTATGTTTTAGATAAAAAATGAATTAATTAATGTCCAGTTAAGTGTAACAAGAAACGTTCTACAAGGGCGAACTGAAAAGTAATCAGCCTAGGCAGGAAAAACCCAAAACTCAATTTATTTCTAGATATACTTCGTCATTATTTCTGTTGAACACTCCTTTGCAATTGTCAAAGATTGCACTTCCAAATTTACATGTAACATATTCTCTACTCATTCGCAGGAGATGCCCACTCGTCAATTATCAGTCACAATACAATAGATTTTATCGACCATCCCTGGTGTGGTAACCTCTTTGCGCTGTAAATACATCATCAAGGGGTCTATTCTGTAACAATTCCTTTATATTTAACGGCCTTTAAAAATATTTTCTTCTGTCATTATTTAAACGGATCTTTAAAATACATTAGAGGACTATCTTAAAGAAATCTGTTTAAATAATGACAGAAGTAAATTAACGAATACGAACATATTTTTAAAGGCCGCCAATATTTTTAAAGGCCGTTAAATATAAAGGAATTGTTACAGAATAGCCCCCTATGAATGGTAATACGACTGCCTTTAAATTTAACCCTCTAATTTTTATTGTTAATATCGAAGGTACCGAGACACTAATAACATTCATACGGTGTTTTTTTTTTTCTCTTTCAAAAACAAGTATCTTATCAAATCACCATATTTGATTATATTCTTTTTTGTAAGAAATCAAAATAACAATTTTATAGAAGCCATTTTAAGTATATTTACGAAAAACATCATTGCTTTGCTCCTGGTGGCGCCAGCTCTTGTCTATGCCGATTACTTTATAATCCAACATCATAGTTCTAGCCCTAAAATTATACTTTATTATTTTAATCCAAACTTTTAAATTTCGAATAAACTCATATTTCTGGCTCGTATATTTGTATATA